ACAAAAGCTAAAAAAAAAAGGCAGTTAGCTTTATCGCWTTTCCATTCTGAACAAGTGTTAGACCACCATATCCTGAGTTTCAGCTGAGCAGGGGGGATAATCTATTTTAAAATTATGTAGACCCATAAATGTACTCAAACCCAGGATGTAGCTCACCATGACCACCACTGTATCCTGAGTTGGGTACATTCTGTGGGRTACAAAGTACAGTAAAACATTTTTTTAAGAAGACAGCTTTCATTTCTGTTTCTCAGAAGTGGGTCATGCAGTTCTCTCTTCACAGAAGCAGTAACAGAAAAACTAAGATGCAGTCTAGAACAGCTAAGACGGAGTCCCTATGGCCACACTTTTTTTTCATATACCCACAGTGACTCCATTCCTGCTATCCCAGTACTGGTAACTTAGTTGATGCTTCAGTTGTCTCAATTACTCATCATCTCACTACTGATCTCTATAAGCCTTATGTCTACATGATCAAGCTACTACAATTGTTCACAACTACATTGATTTAACCTTGTCTATATCTATATTAACCTACCAGCCTATATTTATAACTATACTGGCCTACTGACTTATACTTATCACCTTACACTGTGCTATATCTTATTTCCTGTAGCTTAAATCCTATGTCTTACAGTTACATGATTATCCTGCTATTACTTATGCTTATGCCTGATGAACTTATGCTCTATGCTTATTTCTAACTTATTATTAGGAAAGTTTAACATTATTCATCTCATAGTACTTATTTTTATTATCCTATTCTATCTTATCTTATTCCTATAATTTTTTTATAGGTTTGATTTTTTTTAAGGAGAGAGAGAGAGAGAGAGAGAATATGAATCTTTTTTTTTTTTTTTGTAGATGGACACAACACAATGCCTTTATTTTTGTGTGGTGCTGAAAATCGAACCTGGGTCCCGCCTGTGCTAAGCGAGCGCTCTACTGCTGAGCCACAATCCCAGCCCAATTCCTATAATCTTCAACCTATGTCTATGACTTATTGATTATATTGATCAGTTCACATCACAACAGCATCTAAGAAATGAATATCTAACACACCATCTGRGTGCCGAGGAATCGCCTACYAGAGCACACCTGGAATGCAAACCTTGAAAATTTTTCTTTTAAATCCCCCTATTTCTCCTGATGGGCAGAATCTCAGCCTCTGATATGGGAGTCCCCTGTGTTTTTCCTTTGTTAGCAAAGCAATAAAACTCCTTTTCTCTTTTTCTCAAAATCATGTCTTCATTATTAAGTTGGCATGAATTGGCATTTGGGACAAGCACTGAGCTTTTGGTAACACACTCATATACTCTCTAGACCTGGGGCAAGGGAACTGTAGGAAATGTGGTAGGAAATGTGGCAATGTCTGCAAAGATTCCTTGCTTGTCATAAATGTGTGCACTGCTAAGTCCTTGCATCTGATAAGTAGGGGTCAGGGATTCTGCTAATCATCCCATCAAACATAGGACCAATTCCCACAGCATGAAATGATCTGGTCCAAAATGTCAGTAGTATCGATATAGAGAATCACTATTCTCTTTGGAGAAGAAAATTTTGTGAAAGAAATTTCTCTTTCATTAGTCTTCACATTCAAAGTCTCACAAGAGATAAATAAAATCTCATTCCAGTTTAAACATTTGAAAATCCACTGAGTGCTAACTGTCCATCACAAGCAGAACATAAGTCATTCTTTCAGTCAGTGTGTATTTATATATGACACAATCATATAGTAAATACCATTGCATTGTATACTTGGAATTTGTTTAATGTGCATGTACTCTTTTCACCATAGAAAAAGAAAGAAGAGAAAAAGAAAAATAAAAAAGGAAAAGAAAAATATTGGTAACTGTGAGGTAAAGAATTATGAATTATCTCCACTATAGTGATTACTTTGTTTTCTGTGTATACATCACATTATCAAGTTATATGCCTTAAAGAATCTTTAATTGTCAATTTTACCTTGATCTCCATAAATAATTTTTTTTCAGAAAAGACAAAACAAACCAAAAAAAATGTAGCTGTCTTTTCCAGGGATACTAAAAATTTTTAAATAGATAACAAATGACCCTCAAACTCAAACATTTTTTTTTTTTTTTTTTGTCAAGAATCAGTTAGAGTGCATTTTGGGGGCGAGTTCTTTGCAGGCATTATTGTTGTCAATGTTGTGGTTGCTATTATTATTCTTATTATAATCGTTATCATTGTTATTATTGTAGTATTTAAGTCCAAAATAGCAGTCTGAAGCTACCAGCTTATTTGCAGGTTATATGTGAGAGAAGTTAGGTTGAGTTTAAGCATCTTGCTCAAAATCATTCACTAGGAATCATAACATCGTCACAGGTGTTTGATCTTATGTCAAGTGTTCCTCTCAATTCACTAAAGTAACAAAGATCCATGTTCCATTTAAATGAGTGACTTATGTAAATAGAGACAAAAAGAAGTAGCAATGCAATCTTAAGAGAATAAGAAAACAAATGAAGTATTAGTGTAGAAACAAGGAAAGTTAATTATGACTTAGCCTTTAAAAGATGTACATGTTAACCTTGAAGACAACTGTCGGAGATATCAGGTTATATAATCCTGGAACCTATAATTGCTACTGTGGGAAGGCATTCTCGCACTTGATTGGGCACCTCCCTGATTGGGTGTGAGGCGTTCTGTGGCGGAACTAATCCCCACCCTCTCCAGGTGCGAGAACCTGTCCTTGTGGGGGTGTGACTGACCATTGACCCTGAGACCAACACTGACCCTGACCTTGGAATGCTGTCCCCCTCGACCTTCATTGGATGGAATTTTCCCCGGAATTTCTTGTTCCCCAATAAAAGGCCACTCCCTGGCGTGTCCTACCTCTCTCTCTCCTGCTAGTCCTGAGTAAGCCTTGCTGCCCCACSGGGTGGTTCCAGGCAAGAGCCAGAGGGAGCGCCGTCTCAGACCTGGTCAAAGAAAAAGGTAATTGAGTCTTGTGTGTTTATTTTGATCTCACTAGTTAACTTCTATGCTACGAACCTCTTGTATGAAGCCAGCATGCTGGTCATGCAGCTGATGCTACTTGTTTGGAGAAAGGTTATTTGCAGAAGTGATTAGATGAAGGATCCTGACAGGAATGAGACTGGGACTGATCAGGGGGTAAAATGGCAGACAAACTCTCGGGCCTTCATTTATAATTTGTTTTAACCATCTTTTTCTACTTCCCCACTCACACTATGTGGAAGTTTTCTTTTCTTATCCCCCTGTTCATAATGAAAATAACCATAAACATCAGATAGAGTAGGACCATGCTAAGATATCCAGGAGTCTTTTCCACAGGAAAGAAATTCCTTAAAGGAATTATCATAAAAATACTAGACTCTTCCTGACCCAGAAACTGAATAAAATGCTAGTCCATCTTTTGGTTTGTGGGCAATGTTGATGACTCTCTCAATAAGGGCTGTCTGGTTCATCTGGAAGTGAAGCCCCTTATCTTCTTCTTTTTTTTTTTTTTTTCTTTTCTAGATTAGAGCTTTGTCTATATATTCATGCTCACTTGACCTGGTTTTCATATTCAACAACATTTTCTCAAATGTTCCCATCTCTGTCTCTGTTATCAGGGAGTCTATCCTGGATTACTTTCAGGTTTGGGGGGGTACTGTAAATGCAATCTCACTCAATCTTAATCTTGCGGTTAAGAGAGAAGCAACACACACACACACACACACACACACACACACACACACACACACACGGGAGAAGATACAATGATGATGGAGCTGAGAGACGTTTGAAGGTGTTTGCATGGTTGAATGAACTCTCATGGAATGTCTGCTGCCACCAGAAGCTGAAAGAGCAAGGTATAGATTCTCTTCTAGAACTTCTTGATACACTTTGATTTTGGCATAGAATACAAATTTCAGATTTCTGACTTACAGAATTGTTATAAAATAAAAATCCACAGTTTTAAACCATCAAGTTTGTGGTCATTATTTTCAGAATCCATAGGAAATTAACACAATGGGCTTAAGATAGTGTTTATATTTAGAAAAGGTAATGAATGAAAGGCATCATTTCCTGCAGATATAAATAATAAAAACATTAACATGGATGTGGAGATCTTAAGAAAGTAGGGCATCAAACACATAACTAAATTGTTTAATCAGGAATAATTACATGAAAATAAAAACATGAAAGTAAAAATGAAGCAATAAAATATGATAAGATAATAATATACTAGTTTATTCATGTTATATTATGTATAATGGTAAGAATTTAAGAGAATATTTAATTTTCATGAATATTTTGTCATAAATGTAGAGAATCTCATGTCTCGTTTGCAGATGAGAAAGTTTACAAAGGTTCCAAAATTATAATCTCTCCATATAAAAAGTAATAAAATGAAAATTACTGAAAATATTATCCAGAAATACATAACAGCACAGTGGAAACTAACTGCATATTATGAAAAAAAGCATAGATGATTAAATAAATGTATTTTTCCCTCTAGTAAAAGTGAAGTAAATTTAGTGAAAATGTTTATATGTATCAAGGATGATGAAAAAACATTTCTATATGCACTTTGTTGGAAAAACATTGTACCTATCTCAGACGCTAAAATTGGGAATAATTATAGTACCTTACAAACCCAATTAAACCAGTTGGAGATTGAAGAAGAGAAGTGAAGGTAGAAGATTCAGGTAAACAATAATTAAATAGTATAGCACATGACTTAACATACAGACAAGTGGTCCACCTGAAAGCACATATAATCCCCTGGTGCCTAAAATATTTCCCTGTTTGACATTTCCCCACATTCATTCACACATAACTCCCCTTGAAGTTTCCTTATGCAACCCTGAAATCTATATAAGGAAATAATTCTTCAAAAGTAATTGAATYCCATCACCTTTTTTAAAAATATTATTTTTAGTTGTTGATAGAACTTCATTTTTACTTACTTATGTGTGGTACTGAGAATCAAACACAGTGCCTCACACATGCTAGGCAAGCACACCACCACTGAGCTATAACCCCAGCCCAGATCCTATTACCTTTTTGAGAGCWTCTTTCACATCCTTGTTCCTCAGGCTGTAGATCAGGGGATTCAGCATGGGGATCACTACAKTGTAGAACACTGTGGCCACTTTGTCAGCATCCCGACTGTGGCCTAGACTGGGCTGGCAATAAATGAACAGGATTGTTCCATGGAAGACAACTAAGACTGTGAGGTGGGAGGCACAGGTGGAAAAGGCTTTGTGCCTCCCTTCTGCAGAGCGCATCTTCAGRATGGTGATGAGAATGAACAGGTAGGAGGTGAGGATGATCACGATGGTAATGACCTCATTCACAGTGGGCACAATTAATGCCATGAGTTCATTAACAGACACATCAGAGCAAGCAAGAGAAAGGATAGGTGGTAGATCACAAAAGAAATGATCAACCACATTTGATGTATAGGTTGGGATTTCAAGAGCTAAACTCAAGTGAATCAGAGAACATACCATTCCACAGAGGTAGCAACTGGAAACAAGGCCCATACGAAGCTTCTGAGACATGGTAACCATATAAAGGAGAGGGTTGCAGATGGCCAAAAAGCGGTCATAAGCCATAACTGCCAAGAGAAAGACCTCAGTGACCACACATGTACAAAAGAAGTAGAATTGCACGAAGCACCCTAGGAAAGAGATGGCTTTGTCCTGGCTGAAGATGTTGGCCAACATCTTTGGCACGATTGTTGTGGAATAGCAAAAATCTACAAAGGACAAGTGGCTGAGGAAAAAGTACATGGGCGTGTCAAGTCGGGAGCTCAGCTGAATCAGGGCAATCATGCCCAGGTTGGCCAACACGGTGACTCCATAGATGAGAAGGAACATCAGKGGGAGAAGGACTCTCAACTCCGGGACATCTGATAATCCAAGGAGAATGAATTCTGTCATGATGGAGCAGTTTTTCCCCACCATCGCTCCCTGAGTGGGGTTGGGAAGATATTCTGTTTTGTATTTTTTTCTGGAGAGAGAATAAAAGGGAAAAAAAAGTCTATATTATCATCAGAAAAATTTAATGTATATATACACAAACACACACACACATACATATACATTCATATATATATATCATTGATCTCAGAACATTTATGAAGAAAACAAAACTTAACTACCAAGTAATTTAAAAGTTAAGTATCTTAGTGAATATTACTGATTTAAATTAATTTATTCATCAGGAACACTTGATATTTATTTACACCTTTTTCTACCAGAGTAGGTTCAGGTGATCTATTAAGTTATGTAACTTCATGGACTTTGAAATATATTTTATGTTTCATCTTTAAACTACATAGAAATTAAACCCTGTTCCCTATAATAYTTGGTTAGTTGCATCTAAGCAGAATCACAGACAACATGACCTTGTGTAAAATACACTCTTTTTTGGTTTGATTTGTCATAACATTACTTTTTTAAGTGAGGTGATTTACAGCTACTATATAAAAACATGACAAATTTGATGAATTACAGGAAGATAGGTCATTTAAGTACAGAAATGTAGAATGAATAAACAATAAAAGGAACCCTGAAAATCATAGGAACTTTACTTAYAAAATTGACAATTATTTCATTAATTAAGGTTCAATATTGCTGATGACTCCTAAAGATGAATACCTATGTGAACTTACCTGGAAATAACTAGGCAATATGCATCTGAAGTCTTAATCCAGAAAATAAGAAAAGATAAGTCATTGTTTTATTTAGAAGTACTATTATTATTAGAAATTATTTAGGTCTATTAAAAGGAGARACACAGAGAGAGACACAGACAGAGATAAGACAAAGTCTACCATTCCCTATTCTATCTTTTATACTTTTGATGCTTGATGCTACACAGGAAATCATTCCCATCAACTGCCTCTCAAAACTAAAAGCCAAACACATTGTATAAATTAATGCACAGAGAAACAGTTCACATAAACAGTCTATAAATATAAGAGAGATGAGGTTGACATATTTAAATTATCTTTTATCAGAAAATATTCTAATTTCCTTCTTCAAATAACCAGAATCTAGTTTTGACTAGCACACTTGAAGTACCAGCTTTTCTTCCTTGATACTGAGGATGGTAAGTGAATAGTATAAGGTTAGAGATTTATACTATACTTAACCCTCTGGGAAATGGGTCTCTTAAGTAAAACAGTTATTAATGCCTATGCTTTAACAAAATACAAATGGCATAAAAGTCATGTGATGTAAGCTATGAAATATAATTAATCTCTGTGGAATTGGCTGAGTATTTCATTAAACTACTTTAAATGAAGATGTAACTGTTTAATACCAAACATGTCTCTTTTCAGAATTCATAGTTCTATGTGGAATTGTATAACTGCATATCAAATATATGACTAGAGTTTATGCTTCCATTCTGAAGGCACAGGTATATTTCTTATAAACATCCGCTTTCTCATAATATTATACAAATCCCATACTTTCCAGTGGGTGGAGTGCTTTAAGTCATACAAAATTTCCTTCAAAACAGTAGAAAGATAATRAACCTACTAATAAGAAAATTCTAATTGACAATCACACCATGTATCTGAAGCTATTCTAAGTCAGGAGATACAAGTATTACCATTCTGGTGTCTGGTTTTGCACTTCATAGCTGTGCATGAAGAAAGCACAGGACCAGAGCCAGTGTAGAGACTGCATTCTCCCTAGTGGCTGTCCAATGCTGGAAGGCATCCAAGTGAATGCTGCTAGGTGTGCTGCCCTTCACCCATGATAAGGACAAGCAAGGCACCTGTTCTACTTGTCTTTGTGTATCACTGGATGTCCATTTTGGGTTTTCAAGGTGTACATGATGCAAAAGCTGTTTCAGATAAATATATTGAGATATTTTCAACTCCTGTACAGTATATTTCTAAASTTGATCTGCTGAAGATTGCACACAAAACTATGGAGACAGTTTGTTTCTCTACTCAAGCACCTATTTTACTTTTCACATTTTAAAAAAGGAAAGTTTACATCAACTCAGAGTAGGGTAAATTATCACCTTGACTAAAATTCTGAAGGCCAAAATAAAATGCACAGGTGATAACCTGAAATATTATATCAGGGCTAATTTTTACACCTTCTTTGTATATACCATAAACTCATCTAATAATTTTTTTACCTTTTTCCAGTTATTACATTTCTTACTACTGGCATCTAGTGTTCAGAAGCTAGGGGTGCAGCTCAGCATCCTCTAATTCAATTTACAGGAAGTAGTGGCCCCCAAGAAAAACTGTCTCATGTAAAACATCAATAGCTTTAAGAACGACAAGCCCTACTATCTGTGTCATGATTCTTTCTTTTAATATTTTCTATTTTACTTTTTTAAAACTTTTCCTGGATGAGAAGTGTGTGTGTGAGTGTGTGTGTGTGTGTGTGTGTGTGTGTGTGTTTTCTTTCTGCTTGTCTCTGACCTGTTATTGTTCATTTTGGACACTTTTGTTTTTTTTATTCCTTTTTGTTTTTGAATAATTTCAGAAAAAAAAAATTAGCCGCATTCCTACATATATTTCCTCTGCCCTGACCTCTTTATCTTGAAGGAAAACCCCATTATTTCTAATTATAGTTATTTTGATTTCTTGGTGTTACTTACTGCACTGTCTTCAGGTGTGGTGTTTACTCTTTTTCATTTGGGGTATACTATGTTGATATGCCTTTAATTTCATTAAAATTCTGCTCAGTTATGTTGGACCTACTATTGTTCTTCTTTAATATATTTTTTCTTACTTTTTTTAAGTTTAATTTCTAGCTATAGTTTTCATGACTTTTTTGAAGTTCACTATATACGCCTGCATACATGTTTCATTGCTCACCTGTTTCATTATTGCATATAGAAATCATGACTATTTTAGATTGTTTGTCATATAGCTCTAATATCTATGTTGTATGTAAATCTGGGTCTTTTAACATTTTTACAATAAATTATTATTTCTTAATTTCTTGTATACCTTATAATTTTGATTAAGAACAGATACTGGTAGCTCAATATAAAAGTATGTACTTGATGCCCTATCTACTTGGGATGCTGAGGTGGGAGTGTCTCTTGAGCCCAACAGTTTGAGACCAACCTTGACAACATAATGAGAGCCCAATTAAAACAAATAAAAAAATTTAAAAAAAAGAAAAAACTGAAAGAAAGGAAAGAAGAAAGAAAGGCTAGAAAGAAGGAAGAATAGATACTGTTTTGGGGATACTAAGTTGTTATTTCTGTCTGATGATTTATTCCTTCTTTTTCCCAGTGTTAAGTATCAGGATTGAGCTGGGCCTCTTCTTAGTTGACACGGTGATTCTCTCAGTTGTATGTATCAATTTGACATGAGTATAGGCATCTTGCTTGGAACTGCTGACTTGTTCATCAGGTAACCCTGGCATGCATTTTAACAATAAAAAATGATTGAGATATTCAGCAGAACATTCAGTGATAATCACTGAAGTCTTGGACTTTCCTTAACTTATGTTTAATATATTAATAGTAATTTTTGATTTTTCTTGAGGAAGCCCAGCTACACTCTGGTTGGCAGTAGATCACATTTGTCTAGTTTAGCATATGAACCTTTTTGTCCTACCATGGAGAGTGACTTCTGCCACCCAAGACATGCTCTGTCTTTAAGTACCTAATAAGTTGKATTGGACTCTGTGCAATTTTATGTTTAACTGCCTCTTTCATCAATCTTTCTGCACCTTCCACCATTTATGGCTGGTTCTTACACACCAGATTTMATTTTTATGAAATAATGAATGAGCTAGCACGGAGCTTAAAAAAACTGATGAAAGAGAAGGAACCTTCCATAGGGGAAATCCTGAGCATCCACTTATGTATATGTGGAGTGGGAGAATTAAATGCCTGATCCAGGAAGCCTGCCATAGTAGTACAGGAACACTCTATGTTTGGAGAGCAGCAGGGATGATACTCTGTCATTGTTGACAGAAATTTGTCTAAACTAATGTGGTAAGGAAGGGCTGTAATTTGCTGCCATTATTGAATGGCCATTGTTGAAGTCTGTACATTTCATTACTGATGCAAAACTGATTACAGAGGCAAGAACAAAATGGATGGAGGAGAAATTACAGCTACAAACAGATGTACATTGTTCCACATTCCTTCTGGCCTCCAAGTTGAAAGAACAGAATTCTGGTTTGGAGATGTTAACCTGTGGATTTGTCAGGCTAGGAGGGAAAATGATAGAAGTAACAAGTGAAAGCAAGTGTCTAGTGACCTGAGTGAGATGGAAAGAAATGGAATTCTTAGGAGCAGGAAAGTGTGGACTGGGAAGATTGTCTGTCTTATGAACCAAACTTTTCATCTCAACAGTGGTTGTAATGGAAGACAAAAGCTCAGACAGAAGAGAGGTCACAGCCTGCAACAACCACCATGYAAGAAACCTTACTCMTTCAGTAGCAATCATCYRTAGAATTGTTAGACWCTGCAAAATTGTGCAATATCTTACTAATGAGAGTCTGCCTGCCTGAATAGTAAGTACAATCACAAGTCAAGAGAAGATATCATGAGGGAAAATATCTATGAATGATTCTTGCTTTATTAAAAAAGCCTATGTGTTTCCATCTCTATAACAATTTGTGATTTATCTCCTAATGTTTTGAAATAGTGCATTCTGTACATGGTTATTGTATTTTGTTTTTCTTTCACCTATGCATTGTGACCCTAAATTCCCAAATGATGGTACTATCACCCTCCAGGGTGATAAATTCATGAGTACAGGGTACTCCACAATGGGAGTAGTGCCTTCATCAAACAAGCCTAGAGATCTCCCTGGACCATTYTGCCATGCGAAGACACAGAAAACAGTTATATCTGAACAGAAAAGGGGTGTCYCCAGACACTGAATCTTAGACTTCTATCTTAGACTTCTGCTGCAGTCTGGCTGGGCACAAAATAACCAAGCCACCACAAAAACTCGTAGATT